TAAAATACCCAATTTCATTTATCACGCCTAACCATCACCCTCTATCCATTACAGGCACAGCAGAGACGCTAACAGAGTCCCGTATAACATGCGCTCTAGAACATAAAGACGCATACTTATATTATATCGTGAAGAGGCACCCTGGCAGGACTATCGTGTTTTGTAACTCTATTGGAAGTGTTAAGAGGTGAGTCTATGTTCTATTTCCTACCTAGGACATACCAAAGGTGGTGGGAGTAATGACGTTTTTCTTTTGTTCTCTATAGTATAACTGTGTGGAAAGTGGATGAGTTTGTGCTCTATTTTCTTAGTAATATGATTGATTTTGGTATGGCAAAGATGGTGTGAGTTATGACTTTTTTCTTTGCTTATCTCTCTATAACTCTAGTGTTAATAGGTGAGATTTGATCTCTATTTTCGTAGTTTTAAGGTTGAACATAAAGTAATTCTGTATTATTTTAATTTTCATGTATTCGTGTTACAGATTAGCCCAACTATTTACTCTGCTCAAGTGTCGCCCTCTACCGCTACACGCCAGCATGCCGCAAAGACAGAGAATTAAGAATTTGGAGAGGTGAGGTTTGATACAAAGACAACTATTAACTTAATATTGTACTATTTCCAGTTAGACCTTTGATTTTGGGCCCAGTTCCTCGTCAAATCATTACGTGAGTAAGCCGAAAACATAATAATTTAATACTTACAATGTTCGATCACGGAGACACATTACTAATTCCAATGTCACCATATAAAAAAACATATCATTACTTAACACACTACACAAAACCAATTTCCTTCCAGATTCCGCGACGACCCTCACGGAGTACTAATAGCAACAGACGTAGCAGCGAGAGGTCTGGACATACCTCACGTGGAACACGTCATACATTACCAGGTGCCTCGCACGGCTGAGAACTATGTACATCGCAGTGGCAGGACCGCCAGAGCCAGTCGAGAGGGACTTACTATACTCATGATGGATCCCTCCGAAGCTTATTTGTACGCAAAAATGTGCAGGACTTTGAATAAAAGTAAGTTCATAAACTTAATTTTCTATTTACGACTGACGGAACTTTGGATTTCCAAAATAAATAATAGGAACACAAAATATGAAATTGTGCTAAGTAAATGATAATAGTCATATAATTATTACAAAGGAGTTAAATTTAACTGATGAAAACCGTTTTCAGAAAAATTTATAATTACTAATTTCCTATTTTTTTTTTTATGGCATACGAAACAAATATATAAACATAAACAATATGTAAACGAGCAGACGGATCACTTGATAGTAAGCAATCGGCGACGCCCATGGACACCTGGAACACCAGAGGCGTTACAAGTGCGTTACTGGCCTGTTGGGGATCAGGAGTTTGAGGATTGTTGGGGATTCGGGGATTGGGGAGATTGAGGAAGGGGGGGGAGCTGGGCCTACGGTAACCTCACTCACACGAAGAAATACAACGCAAGCGTTGCTTCACGTAGGTTTATGTGAGGCCGTGGTATCACTGCGGTCGAGTCGGCTCATTCGTGCCGAAGTATGGCTCTCCCACATGTTATAAATTAATGTGAAAGTTCTGTCTCACGATAGTTATTATAAAAATAATAAATCTATATAAATTTCCTCCCCAGCATCAGAAGTTCCGACCTTCCCAGTAGACAGTCAGGTCCTGGCTCCCATCAAGGAGCTGATGGTGGTAGCTCGAGAGTTGGATGCACTGGAACTCAAGAAACGAAGGGCAGCGCAGGCTCATGGGTGGAAGGAACGAGCAGCAAGAGAAATGGACATCATTATTGATGATGATGATCTGTATCCTTTTTGCAAAAATCACTGTTACTTAATTTAGAAAACGTCGAATTTCGATTTTTATTCTTATTGAATAATGTTAGTTAAATAGTTACAAGTAGGCAAGTCTCGGGTTCAATTCCCGGATCCCAAATTTTCAAATTCAAATTCATTTATTGTTTGTTACATGTTGACAATAGATGTTAAATATATTATAATAATAGTAGCATAGTAACCACAGAACATATAAAGGAGGATAGAACGGCCTTGTGGGCGGTACACGCGTGCCGCGGTTATGAGCAAATGCTCCAAATCTACCAAAATGTCAAAAACCGGCCATCAAACGACATAAAGTAATTCTGTATTATTTTAATTTTCATGTATTCGTGTTACAGATTAGCCCAACTATTTACTCTGCTCAAGTGTCGCCCTCTACCGCTACACGCCAGCATGCCGCAAAGACAGAGAATTAAGAATTTGGAGAGGTGAGGTTTGATACAAAGACAACTATTAACTTAATATTGTACTATTTCCAGTTAGACCAACTTTGATTTTGGGCCCAGTATTCCTCAATTTTACATACATACATAACTTCACGCCTGTCTCCCACGCGGGTAGGCAGAGACTATGGAACGCCAATTACTACGATTCCTAAATACCTCTTTCGCTTCATCAACAGTCATCAATCTTTACATGCATGCTCGTCGGTTATTAGGTACTTTTAATTTGGCCCTTCTTTAATATATTCCTTAATTTTTTCTTTGCATATGTAGATAAAGTGGTTAAAATAAAATTAAATCATGTTTCATAAGTAATGTAATATAAAACATGTTTCTAATATTTTCAAATATTAATAAATAATGTTTTTATTGTCATACTTATAGGCTATGGAACATTCATATTAGAAATAAATACAAAACATTAAACGCCTTTTAATGAGACAATTTCATAGAAGTAAACAAAATATAAAAGTGACATATGTTTAAACAAAATTCAAACCAAAAATAAAACTTCCTTAACAAACAGCCAGTGCTCGCATTACTACCAAATAGTTATATTATCTAACAATACTTACAATATTTGTATTGTAACTTTCGTGAGACATACTAAATAAATTATTATGTTTTCGGCTTACTCACGTAATAATTTGACGAGGAACTCGACTAGTTCAGCAGCTGCGCGACAATTGCCGCGTCGCGGGTCGCGAAATGCTGCTCATGAATATGACTATATGAGCCTCTAGCATGGCTTGAAACTAGTCGAGTTCCTCGTCAAATCATTACGTGAGTAAGCCGAAAACATAATAATTTAATACTTACAATGTTCGATCACGGAGACACATTACTAATTTTAAAGTCACCATATAAAAAAACATATCATTACTTAACACACTACACAAAACCAATTTCCTTCCAGATTCCGCGACGACCCTCACGAAGTACTAATAGCAACAGACGTAGCAGCGAGAGGTCTGGACATACCTCACGTGGAACACGTCATACATTACCAGGTGCCTCGCACGGCTGAGAACTATGTACATCGCAGTGGCAGGACCGCCAGAGCCAGTCGAGAGGGACTTACTATACTCATGATGGATCCCTCCGAAGCTTATTTGTACGCAAAAATGTGCAGGACTTTGAATAAAAGTAAGTTCATAAACTTAATTTTCTATTTACGACTGACGGAACTTTGGATTTCCAAAATAAATAATAGGAACACAAAATATGAAATTGTGCTAAGTAAATGATAATAGTCATATAATTATTACAAAGGAGTTAAATTTAACTGATGAAAACCGTTTTCAGAAAAATTTATAATTACTAATTTCCTATT